TTTTTGTAAAAAGAGTCATAATAATTTAAAAATCATGTCCGATTTTTTGATTTACGGTTAAATCGGCCGGGTCAATGGGTTTTTACCGGTTTTTAATTATTCGGTTAATGTATGATGATATGATTGGTTATGAGGTCGGTTCACGATTTTTCGATTGAACCGCATGATTCGATTCGATTTTTATAACATTGTTTTATATAAGGGTTGTAAGCCTTATTGGCATTAAGTGGTTTTCTAGTCAAATTTCTTAAATTCTAGAAATTTGTTAATTAAAATTAACGAGTTTAAATTCTCTGTACTTGTGCACGAATTAAAAAGTTTTTGATGTTTTGATTTCTGGTATTCTTAGAATTCTAGAAAAACTAGAAGGTGACAGCATTCCTTTGAAATGAATGAAACTTCTATAACGTTTCGTTATATTATCTCTATCGCTTCCCCTCTTCATCACTTTCCATTTTGGGTTATATGATCATCAATGCCTCAAAATTCCAGACACCGTTATATACTTTGACATATGAACATGAGATGAGATTGTAAACCTAACTAAAAGTGATGTTTATCTCTTCAACATAGATGAATTTGAATAGTTTGATTACTAAGGTGAGCTCAGGAGTCAGGAGGGTTGAATAGTTATCTTGGTTGAAAAGGTTGTAAAATGTGAATCTCTTCAACATCATTTACACCATTTTGCACCAAAATGGTGCAAATTATGGGGTTGGTTTGGAGCGGGATTGCACCAAATTTTTGGTGCAAATGGTGAAAATGATTAAAGGGATAATTACATAATTCCAGGCATTTGAAGATAACAATTCAAAATTCAGGGTTGAAATTTCGTTATTCACAAATCAGGTACCAATATAATACAAACCCTATCATTTTTCATCTCCCCCCTTTCTCTCTACCATCTTCCTTCTCTCTCTATATTCTCTCATCTCTCTATCACAGACACCACTGGTTCCATTGCCACCGTCGGCAGCGTTCATGACGGCGACTACGCTATGAAGCAACCTCACCGGCGACGATTCTGTTTATCCTCTCTCTCTCTCTCTCTCTCTCTCTCTCTCTCTCTCTC